GGATGGCTTAGTCACCTTCTCTCTAGTCTATCAGTTTAAAAATTAGGGATGGATTAGTCACCTTCTCTCTAGTCTATCAGTTTAAAAATTAGGGATGGATAAGTCACCTTTCCTCTAGTATATCAGTTTGAAAATTAGAGATGGCTAAGTCACCTTCTCTCTGGTATATCAGTTTAAAAATTAGGGATGGATAAGTCACTTTCTCTCTAGTCTATCAGTTTGAAAATTAGATAGATTAGGTAGTGATTTCATTAGTTGATTGCTGTAATACCTGTACGGTTGTGACATCGTTAGTTGATTGCTGTAATACCTGTACGGTAGTGATTTCATTAGTTCATTACTGTGATACCTGTTCGGTAGTGATTTCGTTGGTTGGTTGCTGTGATACCTGTACGGTAGTGATTTCGTTAGTTGATTGCTGTGATACCTGTACGGTAGTGATTTCATTAGTTGATTACTGTGATACCTGTACGGTAGGGATTTCATTAGTTGATTGCTGTAATACCTGTACGGTTGTGATTTCATTAGTTGATTACTGTGATACCTGTACGGTAGTGATTTCATTACTTGATTACTGTGATACCTGTACGGTAGTGATTTCATTACTTGATTACTGTGATACCTGTACGGTAGTGATTTCATTACTTGATTACTGTGATACCTGTACGGTAGTGATTTCATTACTTGATTACTGTGATACCTGTACGATTGTGATTTCATTAGTTGATTGCTGTGATACCTGTACGGTAGTGATTTCAATACTTGATTGCTGTGATACCTGTACGGTTGTGATTTCATTAGTTGATTGCTGTGATACATGTACGGTTGTGATTTCATTAGTTGATTGCTGTGATACATGTACGGTTGTGATTTCATTACTTGATTACTGTGATACCTGTACGGTAGTGATTAATCCCATCTCGTTGAGGAGTGAAATGAAAATAATTTTATTAACCATAACGTAAAAAGGAATTGTTAATTAATTTGCTTATTTAAATAGAGGGGCTCATTCCCACACTCACGGGTTCCTCCCAGCGGCGTACTGTGACCTCCCACCGAAAGAACCCATGGCCAGATTGGTTGGTAAGTTATATTAAGTCACTTATCTAGAAAACTGTATTTTTGTATTTTCTTCACTATAATGAACTGTTGTATCATCACAGGATCTGTATGGGATTAATTCCATTAATTAATGACTGGAATACCACAGGATCTGTACGTGATTAATTCCATTAATTAATTACCGGAATACCACAGGATCTGTATGGGATTAATTCCATTAATTAATGACTGGAATACCACAGGATCTGTATGGGATTAATTCCATTAATCAATGACTGGAATACCACAGGATCTGGACGGGATCAATTCCATTAATTAATGACTGGAATACCACAGGATCTGGACGGGATTAATTCCATAAATTAATGACTGGGATACCACAGGATCTGGACGGGATTAATTCCATTAATTAATGATTGG